GAATTAAAGTTATAAAAAAAAACCCACAAGAAGAAGAAACAGTTGATCTTCCAAACACGTCCAGGAGCAGATTTCTTTTGAAACACTAAGTTCTCTGCTGGTCTTCAGATGGATATTTTTTATAGGATAGTGGAACCTCCTCAGTCCTCTTCTCCATACTTGATCACTGTCCCATATATCCAATCTCTCCGCACATCGCGACTCCCCTTCTTGTTTGGGCTGCATGGCAGTGGGGATTTTAGTGGACAGGTAATTAGTTGTTAAGCATCTTAACCCACTGGTAGTATAGTAATCCACGCCACCCTCCTCCCTCTCCTTCTGTCGCCTCTTTACCACAGGCTTGCAGCGTAAACCTCTTCTGCGCCTTTTACGCACAGGACGCGCACTGCAGTGGCGATGACTTGGACACTGGTGACCGGCTGATTGGTTATTAAATAATGCTCAAATTAGTTTGATTTAAAAACAAAAAACAAATAAGCCATGCTAAATTGCAAGTGCAATATCACAACACCCACCTGATGTTTCCAGCAGACCTACCACTAACCCCCGGGTGTGGCACACTGCTGAAGCTCCGTGCGCTCTCCTTCCTGCTGCATGGGACCACAAGTGTGTCTGAACCAAGGCCGACCTCAGCTCCTCTTTATACACGAGCCAACCAAAGGGTCCAGCAGAGCTCATTCACCTGCTGTCAGTGATTATTAGACAGATTGCAGGTGGAAAAAGAGGCATCATCCTTTCAGCTGATGCGAGAGAGGGACAGGTTTGGGGTTACGGCTCTTTTCAAAGTTGACGCTGAAATCCACCCGTGCAGCCTTTTGTCCTCTCCATGCATTATGAAGGAGACGCAGCCGGCCTGCAGCGGCTCCTCATCCTCTCGCACAGCTGCTCGCGTTACTCTCTGAGAACTTTACGAATTAAAAAAAAAAATGGCAGCATTGTTTTAATCCCTTAAGAAATTCATCATCAAAATGAATCTGACAAAGTGTCTCAAAACTCTAGTACTTAAAACTTCAAGCGTCTCCTCTGACATTAAAATTAAATATCTGCATTAAGAGCATCATGGGGAAAGATTTAAGTGTTTACATTTTTGCTCTTTTTTTCTTAGATGGAGAACAGTCCAACATACAGTAAGTCATGCAAAGAAAATATATTTGGATTACTTCAATAGGCTGCCACTCTAATCTAGAAGCTATAGATTACATTTACACTTAAAACAATCACAATCAATGACTTTGGGGATACAGTCTTGCCGATATTAAAAAGCCTAATAATCTGTGTAACGCTTCCGCCCTGAAGCTAAATTAAAGTGAAACAAGAAACCGGAACGTGCTCATAAAGACGCTGCAGGGCCAAAACAATGAATATTTCATAAGATCATTATGAGCCACAGACGGCCTGTGTGCCTGCTGCACATACTCATACAGCTGCCTGCATATGTCCAATGTATATATGTTTTAGATCAATCCAAGAACGGAACAAGTTAGATTTTCAAATAATGCCGAAATAAAACTGTAGTTACAAATTTGTAACTGTAAATAACTGGCAGCCAATTTCTACCAAATAAAAAGAAAAGGATGAAAAGTAAATCTAATAGTAGTCTAATGATTTAATAAAATTGGCCAACATTTTTTTCAAGTCAAACAAGTCAAAATAATGAATATAGGGAAGGAAGGGGAAAATGTTATCCTTTAAAATTCCTTCAGTAAAAAAAAAAAAGGGGTCCTGCACTTTAAAAAAAAACACCTTTATTAGGTATGTCACTTTTTTAATCCCTGGCACGTGGACATAAAATAACCCCTTTACCTGCAGGCCTTAACTCACATTTGACTATAACTGCATTTACCTCTGCTTTATTTCCAAGGGATCATGTGATAGGCCTGCATACAGTGTGATGAAGAAGGTCGGGGTTTCATATTGTTGAGACTCTGGAACTGAATAAAGATTAAGGTTTATCTTAATCTGTGTAGTTTAGTTGTATGAGCTGCTCCATGAGACTTCCGGTCTATGAAATAGAGATATGACGCCACCTGGTGGACAGAAGATGCATGTTGCAAAGAATATCTCCATTTTGCCCAGCAGAACTGGACATGTTTTATAAAGCTACCCGGGGCCCAAACATTTTTTTTTTCAACTTATTTTTTATTTCAATTTTTGGCACAGAACAGAATAAAGAAATAGCATAAAATATCTTTTTTTTTAAAAACAACTACCAAGAAAAAAAAGCAGAAAAACACACATACAAGACACCCTGCCCTAGGTAAGGTTAAGATTAAGGTTTTTTATTTATTTTTTTATTGTTTTTTTATTGCATTAGCAACGTCATGGCTGGACTCCATCTCTTACTTAATTTGTGTTTTTGAAGCCTCACTGAGTGTGTTATTTGCTCCATTTCATATATGTCCCACAATTTCTGTATCCATAAAGTCATAGGCCCAAACACTTTATATTAAAAGTGTCACATAGTTGAATCCACCACATGTTGAGGAGATCACACACACACACACACACACACACACACACACACACACACACACACACACACACACACACACACACACACACACACACACACACACACACACACACACACACACACACACACACACACACACACACACACACACACACACACACACACACACACACACACACACACACACACACACACACACACACACACACACACACACACACACACACACACACACACACACACACACACACACACACACAGTACCAACACAGTTTGTATATTTTTTGTTTATTTCTTTCTTCAAGTTACAAGGGAAGCACATTTATTTATTTTTTGCACTTTTAAAAAAATCAGGGTTATCTTGACTTCTATCCCACAGGGCTAAAAAGACCAAAAAATAAAAACAGTCAAACAAATTATAGCCATCTAATATATGTGTCTCAATACAATAATAATAATAATAATAATAAAAATACATTATACACTGATGATTTCAGATCAGGACAATTAACAAGGCTGGACAGTGGTTTGTTACTGAAATGACGATGTTAACTGTGACATCATGTAGTCCTAAGACCTACACCAACATAGATTTGGTTACCAAGGCTACGCTATATAATGACACGTTTTCATGCCATGTCAAAACTGTGACAAACTACATTTACCAACTCTCAAATTAAGAAAAAAAAAAACCTCTTGAAACACCTAATGGAAGAAGTATAAAGGGATTATAAAGGGATCTTTACTTCCATTTTCTATTAGAATGACTTTTTCAAAACAAGGAGACAAAGCCCATTTTGTTGGCAATTAAGTAAGGTAAGGTTTCCTCTCAGATATAACACAAACTTTATCTTCAAGATGCATCAGGCTTCACACCCGAGCTTCAACACAGAGCGGCACAACGTCATGAACTTTAACAGTAAACTGTCACTGCTGCAGTAACACCTCCTCCATTACAGGCACACACACCTTTACAAAGGGCTAAACGGGACAAACGGAGAAGAAGAAACCTGAATTTAAGTTTGAATTACTTGAAGATGGACTTAAACTTAACTTCTTATTTAACCTCAGTGTAAACTTCTTATCTTTATATCCACACTGAGTAGGATTCCCCCGATGTTTTATTTAAAAAAAAGAAAAGAAACTAGGCTCATAGATCGGTTAGAAATTGGTCCCGACATTTAGAAAACAGGCCATCAACAGCGTGACACAGTAGATGCAACCAGCGTCGAATGGCTTTTAAACAAAGAGCACTTTTTGTCTGCCAACATAAATTATTTTCTAAATGGACACGTTTGCATAAGAAGGGGGGGGGGGGGGTGCAGTGGGGTCATGGGGTTGCCACATTTCTTTGGAGTATTTGATTCAACAAAGACAAAAAGATATTTTTCATTCTCCTCATTTTTTTTGTTTTACAAGACAGTTAGTCCGTAAAAACTAGCGAGTTATGTAAGGATAAAAAAATCAAATGTTATGACAGGCGTACCAAACCTGCAAAATAAGAAAATAAAGTCACTATCCCTAAACAAAGTCAGAGACATGTTATAGTTCAACACAAACAATAGTCAGAGATCAGAAGTTCAATATTCAACTGAGATAACTGCTGGAAAAAAAAAAAAACCAATCCGGCCTCCTCCACATGTCTACACATTACCTACACAACTTCACTTCAGTGTCATGCCACAATATACAAAGATACACGGAGAATGACAACGACTTTCCTAGAACGGGGGGGGGGGGGGGAGTTTAAGAGGAGAAGAATGGTAAGGATTGTGAACCTTCTTTTTCTGGGCATCAGGGTTACAACACAAGTTATCTAAACACTCTGATTCTCTGTGGATTTCATGCACACACACACACACACTCAAGCTGAGATCATGGCGGATACACTAGTTGTTTAACAGTGTGTGTAGATGAGTCATCATGTTTTTTGCACAGAGGGTTAGTCCGGTCCAGCCTGTGCACCACGATGATCACATGATCGCACTGTGGCCTTCTGGGTCCTCAGAGAGGAAGTGATGATTGTAACAGCGGCTCCTCTGTGTCAAAAAAAATAATAATCTAACTTGAACTTCACACATTTTTTTGAATCAGTGTTGGTAATCATGCGGTCCTCTGCTGGCCTGGGGATGCAGGAAAATTGTGAAATGAAAATGGGAAGAGAAGGAGGTGTGGCTGGATGATCCAAATAGGAAAGTGAGTGTAAACAGCTTTGATTGGATGACAGTGTGAAAGCCATGATAAAAAACCTCTTCAGACCATGAAGAATGAATGACACACTCCTTTCTGATCCAAACAGGCTTCTGTAGGAGGTGAAGAGGAGGGTGAAGGGCAGGTGGTCATGAACTCCTATCTAAGGGTTTTATATTCTGCAGATCCTCATGTAGAGATAAAAATCCTCATGTCGCTGTAAAAAATTGTCTTTTCATATGAATATAGTAGTGAGCTGCTCCTGCTCTTTGGGACATGATATAGTCTGTTGTGAGGTGAAAGGGGGCGTCGTCTCCCCCCCTTTCACTACAACTCCATGTCCTGAGCCTCATCCTCGGAAAAGTCCGACATGGAGCTCTCTGAAGAGGAGTCACCGCCTGCCAACTCCTGCTCCTTCAGAGCCTCCTCCGTGGCATACCTCTGGATGTACTCTGAACAAAGAAGAACATAAGAATCCAATATGACGTCAGCATCTTCACTGCATCCAACAACAGGATAGTTTCAGGTGCAACAATCATGAGAGCACAACTCGTCTGAACACCTGTCGTCACATTTGTCAAAAATCTTAACCACATTTAAAATACGTTTGACATGAGGTGTGGAAATCAAGATTTTCTAGAATGAAATTGAGAATTTCTCTTTAAGTTGCTCTGCCTCATCTGTACTTCTGCTGTAACTTTAAAGGCTTTATATGCGATTTTTTGATCCAGCAGATGTCGCCCTTGAGCTCCAGCATGAAACCAAAACAACTCGCGCTGCATTGTTGTGTTAGCATGCTAATGCTAGCGATCTTTATTATGCTGGTATCTTCACACTGCATGTAAATTTACCTGAAATGAGCGTGATCTAGAAACACAGTTAAGCAGTGAGTACAGTATGTTATTCTTCTTTTCTCTAGTCCCTCAATTAAACAACTTTTATACACGAGGGGAGGAGTCAGCCGGCCGTCCTGGCGATGTAAACAAAGTGAAGATAGGACTCTGAAAACTCTGAAAACATCACAGACAGTGGGACTCGGGTGTTACACCCATTGTAGACAGTCATGACTCACAGAGTTATTTTCAGAGGAGATACTTGATTTATATTATATTTAAGTGTGAAACATCACATATAAAGACTTTAAAGCTTGCTTGACATTCAGTGTGTTTTGGTTGAATTTTATTCATAAAACTAAAGCAAAACTTAGAAGTAGTCAGAAAAAAAAAAAAACAGATTTAGATCGTGTTAGGTGTGAAAAACATCATCTATCGATCCATCCATTTTCCTTCCCATGTGTGAGTGTTGTAAGTCAACACAGACTTCCCTCTCCAGCAACATTTTCCTTGTTTAAAAAGTGTGATTGCATCAACTTCAATCAAATTTTAAATTGGTCCCAAAAATAAATAAATGTGGAGAAAAGAAGCATCTCAAATAATTGACACGGAAAAGCAGGTGTGATATTTGAAAAATGCTTATCGCTCAAAAATCTTCAATAAATTGCGATAATCTCAGATAAGTGTGGAGTGAAGAGGGTTGAAACTTTGTCACGGTTTTCATTGTTTTTGGTTTGATGTGCCCTAATCATATCACACTGGATGGAAAAGGAAATATAATCACAACATTGTTTTGTAGATTCACGACAACATGTTTGAACACCATTCACATGTTTCAACACCGTTCACATGTTTGAACACCATTCACATGTTTCAACACCGTTCACATGTTTGAACACCATTCACATGTTTGAACACCATTCACACGTTTGAACACCATTCACACGTTTCAACACCGTTCACACGTTTCAACACCGTTCACATGTTTCAACACCGTTCACATGTTTCAACACCATTCACACGTTTCAACACCGTTCACACGTTTGAACACCGTTCACACGTTTCAACACCGTTCACACGTTTCAACACCGTTCACATGTTTCAACACCGTTCACATGTTTGAACACCGTTCACATGTTTGAACACCGTTCACATGTTTCAACACCGTTCACATGTTTGAACACCGTTCACATGTTTGAACACCGTTCACATGTTTCAACACCGTTCACATGTTTCAACACCGTTCACATGTTTCAACACCGTTCACATGTTTCAACACCGTTCACATGTTCAAAGCTCCAGAAATGTGAGAATTGTGCTGGACTCCAGATTTTTTGTTGTTTTAACCAAGAATAGTCCTCACTGATTTATATATCTCAATTCAAAAAGTGTAATGCATCTTTTCTTTTTATAAATATAACTTCCTTCTGTTCATAGTGACATGCACAGTTTTTATGTTCTCTGACTCATCATGTGACAGATAATGGATCTAAACTCCATAACTGTTATTTGATGGACAGAACATGTGTGCTGAATCCTTGTAGCTTAATGAACCCCTCACACAATTTCATTTCTGGATCTTTCCTATCACCGAGAGACAGATGTATGATGTCGTTTTGAACTTCAACACTTCAGTTTGGTTTTTATACCTTTGATCTTGTGTTTGTAGTCCTCCGGTCTGTGCAGGTACATCGCCGCCGCGTCTCCATTCAGAGGGTCGATGGGGTTGGGGTAGGCGAGCAGCTGGGGGAGGAACGACTCGAAGATGTTGGTGAGGTCTGGTGGACGTGGAGAGACCGATTAGTCAGTACAGAGAACAGCAAAAGTTACAGAGCAATACAAGACCAAGATGTAAGATAAGCTCTCAAAACAGCTACACACAAAATAAAGCCGCCGTAATGCTATGCGCTGTATATCCCTAAAATTGGATATCTGACAAGTTCTTCTCTCATCATCAACAACACGACTTACAGGCCACATCATTATTAGTGATCACAGCTCAGCCTATAATCAGGTGCAAATGACAGAGTGAGGACAAAGTGCAGAATTAATCATGACATTTTTACTTTGATTACTCTCTAAAAAGATTATTGTCTCAGGGCTTTCAGAAGATTTGACGACATGTGTTTTCTTTTAGTGAATCTGAACTGACATGCGATAGCAGATAAGTCCGATCTCTCTCCTCCATCCATCTCAACTCAAACTCATTTGTTTAATTCGATTTTTTCTCCAGGAATAGACGTCGAGAAAAGAGACACAGAAAATGATTTCTCTTCAACATTCTGATGCTAATGTTAATGTTTGGAGTAACACATTAACAAATGCTAACACTATGTCAAACGAGGTTACTGCCTGTATTCTGTGGAGTGTGTTAATCACCCTGCTCATCACTCTGTTGTCACACACCGCCCCCACAAAACACACACACAAAATACTTATCAGGGTGTTCTTACAGGACACAACACATGACCAAAAATAAACAAAGATATTGAAAAAACAAGCTGAACAATAAATAAACAGAGTTATCTCTAAACTATCTCGAACAAGTGAAGTCAGAAAGGTCTACCACCTGAAAGAAACAGTGATGTAACTTTGAATAACAACCAATACGAGTCCAAACAACTTAGCAGTGTAAGCATCTATCAGCCGTTATTACTTAGCGGTAATTAAACCTAAATCACGGCACTATTGATGGTCATTTCGAAAACCAAAGGTAAGGACAAACATAAAGAACAGGTGTATTTCAGTAAAAGGGGTTAACTTGTGGAGTACTTCTGCCATAGAATTAAGAATGTGTCGTTCACCTTCCAGATTTACATTTTTGTTTAAAAGAAATGGTGTTTAATAAATATAAAAGGTCGGTTTGATTATTTTTTGTGAGTGTGACTTCTGTTTAGTTTTTTGTTTGTTTCATTTGTTTTGTTTTGAAAGAGATTCTTGGAACAAATTTTTGTTCTGATATGATTTTGTTTTTTTTGTAACCAAACTAGTCGTGTCTTAAATAATAAGATTTGTAACAAGGGTAGGTGTAATAAGATAAAGCTTCAGCCTCACACCTTTTCAGTCAAAATGTTTTTTCTTGTGACTGAAATAAATGATTACTACTACTACTACATTTCAATCACTCTTTCAGTCTTGAAAAACATAACAATAAGTGAGAAACCCCCCAGGTGAGCTTGATCCCCTGTCTGTCCCTTAGCTTGTGGATGTTCTGACCTATCAGGGTTCAATGCAGACTTTCAGAAAAGAGAGCAGCGGTCACTTGAAGTGTAAGCCCATCAAAACTGAGAAGCTTTAAACCAGGGGTCTCCAACAGGTAGCTCAGGAGCTACCAGTAGCTCTATATGTCGGTCGCCTATAGGTTGACCAATTGTGTTAAAAATATATACATATATCTGATGACAGGAAATGCACCTCTTCCTGCTATCCATATATTTGGCCCATAAAAACAAATGTAAAGTAGAAATGTTTTTTGGACCTTTAAGATTAAAATGTAAGATTATTGATAAGCATTGGCTTTTTGCAATTTCACACAGTGTACAAACAGCAGCTTTATCAGCTAATGTGTGCTGTGTAAATAAATACAAGAGATTTGATGCAAGTAGCTCTCAGCTTAAGAAAGGTTGGAGACTCCTGCTCTAAACTGATGAATGATCAGCTGTTGCTTTGTGAGTGTTTTTTTACTGTCAGTCACTTTATTCAGTGAAACTACTTAAAAGCTGTGACGATGAGAGAGTGGTGGTCGTGACCTACCGTAGAGCGCCGTCCACGTCTGGTTGATGACATCTAAACACACAGTTCCTGACCTGCAACAGAAAAAAACACTTTTGAGTGACGATATGACGATCGAGTAAAGCGGGATGCAGGAGTGTGCTCAGCGACCTGACGATGAAAGAAACATCGGCTTTTCCCTCTATCCTATGAATCGATTCAAACATGCTAAACATTAGAATCTGCTCCTGGCAAAGCAAGCTTTAAAGCCCGGCTCACTCTGCAGGATCATCGGGCCGATTTGAGCTCCGATTCATCCCGACAATCTCAGGGTCTCTCCCGACTCGAGGCTGCTCGGACCCGATTATCTGTTCAGATTATCTCGTAGTGTGAGCGGTCCAAAGATCCAATCTTAACGTCCCCGATCTGCCCGGCGATCGTCGGGACGCCCCGATTTATTTCAAACATGTTTAATATTTAGAATTTAAAATCTTAACGATTACGTCATGAAAGGGTCCGGCAGAAGTTGTGTGTGACTACAATATAATCAGACAAGGGAGGACTGTAGTCATGGCAACCAGCGGCAGGACGCAACCCGGTACAGATCATCAGTGCAGCACTTTTCTGAAACTTGTCTCCATATATCTACGATTGTATCAACTTTTCTATATCCTACAACAACTTCCACTTCCTTCTCTTTCACCAACCGGCGTCCTTTGTTTTTTTTTAATTAAACTTTATTAACAATTGTCAACGCTCCGTCCCGATTTCACTCGTACAGTGTGAGCTGACATGACACCCCGACTTTTATACAATCGGGGGGAAAATCGCACCGTGTGAGCCAGACTTTAGATTTGTCTTTTTACTGTTGTGATAAAAGATTGATTTACAGTTTTCCATGTTCCTGATTAAATGTGAATATATGAACTGATATCTGCAACACTGACGGATTACTTACGCTTCGTCGATGTTGGGATGAAAGATTTTATTCATGAACCCTGGTAAGACAACAACAAGAAGAAGAAATTAGGTGTGATCCATTTCATTGTATGTTTGAATCTGAAGATTTGAGATCTTTGTCTGAAACAGAAGTATAACATACCTATAGACGGGGATTTAAAGGGATATTTATCTGGTAGGTCTACTCGGACCTTCCACACGCCTCCTTCATATGCCGCTGCATAGAAAAGACCAGTCAGTACACACTATCACACACACTCTGAACCAGGAGCAGAATAAATGTGAGAATCAGTGGCTCTTACATCCCGGTGGTCCGTGGAACTTCACCACAAACTCATTAAGTCCGCTGAGGATGGTGACCTCGTGTTTGCTCTCGATGCTGACGGCTGGTTAAGGAAAAAATGGACTCCCAAATGCAACAGCAACACAAGAGGCAGAAAATTCAAAGGACACAACACGAGTGTGTTTGACAAACATGTTTGAACTTGAAATCTTTGTGAACTTGTGTCTGGACAAAGACAGGTTCAATAACATGAGATCAATAATGTGGTGTCAGAAATACCCAGACAACAGGTCTTAACCTCGAACACGGCACAGGACAACAACTTCAAGGTCAATCTTACAGTGGAAAAGAGAAAAAACACTACACTGCTGAAGGTATGAACCATCACATCTATCATCATCATCAACCTTTATTTAAGTTCTCAGATCATTGAGGGCGACCCTCATTTACAATGATGCCGAGAAAACATACACAAATGATAAACAACGAGAAATGAGATAGAGCTACTGCATAAAATAAAATCAATAAAAGAGGAATAAGAACAATAAAACATAAACACTAAAATAATTTAAAAGCTTGAAATTACTACAGTGATAAGTCAGTAATTAAAATAAAATAAAACAGTTACAGTCAGGTATTGGGCGGTTAAAAATAATATTTCTAAAGTGTCCATAAGGGTTAAAAGTGCTCAAGTTCAGGTCCTGTTGTAAAATATTCCAGCAGTTTGCAGCACTAACACTAAAAGCAGTTTTCCCCAGATCAGTCCTGGCATGAGGAACCTGGAGAAGCAGCCTCTGTCTCTGTCTCTGTCTCTCTCTCTCTCTCGCTCTCTCTCTCTCTCTCTCGGGTTAAAAATGGAGCAGGGTTCAGATGTAACAAGGAGGTGATATATGATGGAAGCTTTCCAGTAGGTGAATACCTAACTGTATACTTCAGTGAATACACATTAGCTTTAATCTCCACTCATTTTAATAATCACGTTTTGACTTCTTTCTAAAGGCTCTTGGTGATTTAAAAATGGCCTTTGTTAGGGAGTACTCATTGCTGATGTCATTACAGGTTGTTTAAGGCTACAACAGTTCACCTCAGTTAGCCTTACACGCACCTTGATTAGCTGGGACCAGGAAGAGTGATGCCCTGGATTTACTTTGAAGAAAAGTCAACGATAACGTGCAGTGCAAGCTATTTGGCATTAGACTCGCTTATTAAAGAATGACTAGTTTGATGCTTAACCACACGTTCTTGAATATTGAACTGACTGACACTGCTCATCCTCTTAGCCTATTTTCTGAATGCTAACTGTAAAATAAATATTAAAAACATGACATCTCCATCTTTTTAACTCAGCCCCTGAACCATTCTGCGCTTAGATTCATTACCGGTGATAGCTACATGACTCACCACTGCATTCTTCATAATAAAGTTGGTCGGCCCTCCCTCACTGAGAGACGCAATAACCACTGGCATCTTTTGATCCATAAAGCCCTTACTGGAAAGCTTCCATCATATATCACCTCCTTGTTACATCTGAACCCTGCTCCATTTTTAACCCGAGAGAGAGAGAGAGAGAGAGAGAGAGAGAGAGAGAGAGAGAGAGAGAGAGAGAGAGAGAGAGAGAGAGGCTGCTTCTCCAGGTTCCTCATGCCAGGACTGACCTGGGGAAAACTGATTTTAGTGTTAGAGCTGCAAACTCCTGGAATATTTTACAACAGGACCTGAACTTGAGCACTTTTATCCCTTATGGACACTTCAGAAATATTATTTTTAACCATCCAATACCTGACTATAACTGTTTTATTTGATTTTAATTACTGACTTATCACTGTAGTATATTTTAGGGAAAATATTTTATTGTTCTTGCTCTTTGTTGCTCTTTTATTGATTTTATTTTATGCAGTGGCTCTATCTCATTTCTCGTTGTTTATCATTTGTGTATGTTTTCTCGGCATCGTTGTAAATGAGGGTCGCCCTCAAATGATCTGAGAACTTAAATAAAGGTTGATGATGAACTGCTGAACTCCAACCTGAGCCAGTAAGCGTTTCAAACTCTGGGAGCTTTTTTTTATACAACAACAGAAAAGAGATTTATTGAGATTTACTGCTTTAAGTAGCACTCACACTTCTTATTTCTCCCTTATCTTGTTTTTTCGTGCATTTTTTGTTTGATTATGTGTTTTTTTTTCCCTGGAATAATTGAGTTGTTTCTTTAAGGTATTGCTGTTTGTTAGTAATTTGACTGCTTGGTTTTTAATCACACAGACTTTGCACTTATCTAATTCTCATGTTTGTTAGTTTTTAATGTATTTTATAGCGATTCAGACTTCTCCCCTTGTACGAAAGGTGTTATATAAATTAGGATTAATCATTATTGAACTGCACATCAAAAGTACAGTTGCTGCTGTTCTCAGATGTAAATTATCTGTTTTGCAAGTAGTTTCCGCTGAAGAGGGAAGGATGTGTCATAATCACAGCTGTGATGACAGCAGCAAGGTCGAGCCCATGCATCAACAACTGTGTGAGTCTTTCCACAATGACGGCCTGAGAACACACACACACACACACACACACACACACACACACACACACACACACACACACACACACACACACACACACACACACACACACACACACACACACACACACACACACACACACACACACACACACACACACACACACACACACACACACACACAAGGAACTGTCACACTGTGTTTCATCATGCTGTTTTAAATCCTCCTGTCACCTCTATCCACACAATCCAGACAAGGTAACGTACACATGCTGATTTAGCCTAACGGCTGGAGCACAAATAACTGCACTACATAGCTTGATTACATAACCGTCGGTGTGTAACAGAAGTGAAAACTTTACAAACTACAGAACAAGAAGACAGAGTGGCTCTCAAGGGATCTGAGACCGTGAGGTCCTATAAATAAAATACCATACAGGCTTGGGCAGTTAGAATGTGCATCATCTATCCTTTATGCATTCTCAAGGGGGAATACAAAGAAACCTAAGCACACACCCACTCAGGAGAAATGTAACTCCACAAGGGACAAGCTCTATTTTGACAAAAGTCCCCAGAGCACAATGACTGATTAGCACTATCTCCCCATTTTACAACTGATTTTTTAAGCCTAGTTCTTGTGCCACTTGTTTTTAAAGCTACTATATGAAGTAAAGCATCTCTTATTGAACAGTGATGATACACTCAGGACTGCTGACACAAAATCCACAACAGCAACAACTAATGGATCCTGAAGTGCTTTTTTTTCCCGAATTGCTCCCACTATTTGTGCACTCTGATCCTGGAACATCTGAATTTATGGTGTCATGTAAGCCCATGCAGGCCGGACATATGAATGTATGTATGACACAATAAGAAAACTTAAAACTAAACTATCTATTCTCACCGATATTTTATAATTATATCAAGGAAATAAAATAACAATAAAAGAATGAAAGATAAGTTAACTTACTTTGTATTGTTCTTTTGTTTGCATCAGTCAGACACTTTTTTTTAATGCCCATGATTCTGCTTGAGCTCCAAATTTAACTAATGAACTATCATCCTTTAAATGTTCAAACGCACTCTAATCTACCTAGAATAACAGGTCACCTAGGCGTCATTAAATCTGCCTGCATGTGAGCATGTTGCACATAGCATATCTATATTTCCTTGTTTGCAAAATGTTATTAAACATGTAGATCTATACAATATCTAAAAAAAAAATATCAAACTTTACAACATCAGGTCTCATCTGGATTATCCTGCTGTCCCTTTTCAAACACAAATAGCAAAATGTTAATACAAAAAAAGAGACTAAAGCAGTAATCTCTGTGTATGCTGATGAGAATAACGTTTTTATCCCATAATCTGATTATATTTGAATAACTTTGTTTTAAAATGTTCAAGTGGCAAGAGCCCAAGGTTTTCTTTGAAAATGAAAAGGGTAAATCTTATCTCGGCCACATGTTGCTTGATAATGGCTGCTGATGGCACTTCCCACTTAATCAACTAACAGCACTACAACTTGATGTGTGAACGTTAAAGACGCTGGGTCTGTTCGTGTTTAAACTTCATGAAACTTCAACACACAGAGTGTAAACATTCAGGGTTCAACCACTCCGCCTCACAATAGTTCCTAGTGAAATGTCCCTGGCCTGCACGGGATGTTCCCAGCCCCCGTTCCCCTCATCTGCCCCGTAATGCTCGCTTGTTGTTCCTCGATCAGCTGTGCGCGAAGCCCCGCCCTCTACCATATTCCGGATGGTAACAGGCTGACCAATCAGAGAGCAGTATCTAGCTGCAGGACAAAAACAAAACAATTCAGCTCACGCTGTCACAAATCCTTTCATGCAAACTCCTGCAGAAAAAACCGCTGTTAATAAACACAAAAAACACATTATAGAACTATTTACTGAAATAAATCTACAACTAGCTGAAGCATCGGGTGTCATTATATCATAATAAGAGATTGATGTTATTTCGAAATATATAAATAAATATGAAAAAGCCAATACATCTAATCGCTGTTTGTTCCTTTTAAGCATTGATCGACTGTTTTTAAAATATATATTTCTGTATAATTTGATGAATAAACACAATAAACCCTGACTTAACTGTTTTATTTACCATAAATGTGTAATATTTTTCTGTATACCATTAAAAACCATCGTGTCCACTATTCCCCTCCACTAATAAATGCATTTATTTAACTGTCGACGACACCTAAGTGTTTAAATGAGAGTGTCCCCCTGCAGAGAGGCAGCACACACTGAGGTTACTTCGACGTTAATGTCACTAATTCATGAAAAAATCAACTTCTCTTTCCACAGAAGGATTTTCAAAACGTTAAGAAGTCTTTAACAATCCTTTACATTGTGTTGTCAGTTGGATGGGACTGCATTTTAACTCTTTAACAGACCAACTTTATCACCCCCCCCCCTCCACCACCCCCACCCCCCCTAAGCTAATGCTAACCCCACACTGTACACAAACACATGCTAACACTGAGTTTCCAGATTCCGCTGCTAACTCTCCGTTTGATAAACAACACGAAGCGAGCTAACGCAGGCTAAGCAGACTAAAACAACGCTTCCTCTTGGTGGTTCACTCTTGCTGTAGTGTAGATGGTCTGAATAAAAGGATACAGTTTCACCACGTCGGTATCCATTCGCCTCTTGCCCGGACTTGGAGACGACATTTTTCTGTGTTATTCCTTCCAGAAGTGATCTAAAAAATACTGCGGCGACCGAGGCTACCTTCCACCTTTTCCAGCTACAAGCTCAGTGGACTTGTATCAACAACAACAGGCTTTCCACGGCGTCCATAAACAAGCTGTTAGCTGAAACATCGCCCTTCAGTGTGTTTTCTCTCTCGGACCAGCTCAGTCCTGTCCTGAAGACTCTGCTGCTGCAAGTGACATCAACCTCCAGCGACCATACTGAGCAGAGGAGGGCCCCGGGTGTAGAAATACAACCGGCAGAACACACACCTCCGTTCATTTGTCGTATTTGGCGGTAGATAAAAAAAAAAAAACGTGTGATTACCATTCCTACATGGTTTAAAGTCTATATTTTAATTATAATGTCACTCGTGGAAAATGTATCTGCGAGGCTGGTTTAGTGTATGCTCAAATTAACTTGCGTGCTACTCTATTATGACTACATCTATGCCCAAAATCAGTTAGAGGCTAAAAAAAAGTAATGGGGCAGAAGTTGTTTGCTCTTAATCCTTTATCTGAGTTTAAATATGAATTGTTGATTAGTTACTGAAGCCTTTAATCTCACACATCATCTTGGTTAATATTCATTGGTGAAAAAAAGAAGTTGTCCTATATATAGTCTACAAGGGTGCAAGATAGAATAGAATAGAATAGAATAGAATAGAATGACTTTATTGATCCCAAACTGGGAAATTGTGTCCTCACAGCAGCAGGTTGTCCAAACACACAATATGAGCAAAAAACACAATATTAGCAAGTTTAAACATAATATAATATTAAATACACAGTAAATAAGCATTAAAAATATCAAAACTAAGAATGGGAATATATACAACCAGGATTTAACTAAACATTACTAGTCTTAAATATGAAAGATTAAATGTAAATGTGCAAAAACAGAGTTGTAAATGGACAGTATTGACGTTGAAGTTAAAGTGCATGAGTGTAGACATGTTATCAGCAGAAACTATACAATATAATGGCGAGTAGACAGACAAATGAAGTGAACTTGAGTGCAGGGATAATTTGTAAAGTTAACATGTGCAGAACAGATTACAGTAAGGTGAGACAGATATAGCAACATTTGCCTGGTTATTAAGCTAGCTTGAATAAATAATGGATTCTGATTCAATTGGGTTTATCGGTGCAGTGTATAATGTTCACACAAAAACTGCTTCTAAGAGATGTTTTCATTTCTATTTTAGGATAATGTAGTTTGTTTTGCTCTTTGGTTGAACTGTATTTTACAGAACTTCTGCTTCTATAAGTTTCCCATCATGGAATATCTGGACCTAATTTTAAAACACTCTTACAAGTAAAGAAGTGGGAAAAAACGAATACAAAAAAACCCCAACTTCCCCCATTCTGCTTCTTTCAATCCCAACACGCATCATGATCATATGTTGCACAGCTCAAGAGTGAAAACAGATTTTCTGTGTTGAAATCTTTTAAGCTTCAGGTGTTTACTTGATGTTGCCACGCTGTTTGTAACCATAATTAGGACATTTATTGTGTGTTTTAAAAAAAGACAGATCCTTTTTTGTGTACAAGTGTCTTGTATCATATATTGTACAAACTGTTTACGCTTTTGAGGTAAATGTGATTTATTCCTGACTGAATTTATGGAAAGACGCTGACTTGACATAATAGTCTGAAAAAAGGTGGCTTGTTGAGAAACTGTTTTTGTGACAGAAAAAGTGGAACTTCCTTTGAACAAAAAGTATTTCTTTTGATGACTACTGCACATGAGAATAACATCATTTTTGACTTGATGACTGTTAATATGCTGTTTCTATGTCTGTGTTTTCATGTAACATTTTACAGCCATGCAAACTCAAGAAAACACGGTTATATGTAAAAGTCAAAGTTGATCAATAAGGTCACTTTCAGCTCAAAACAGAGTTCCTCCATGCAACCACATTTAGAGACATGCATGTAGTTCCCCCTGTCACTTTTATTTGTTGGGTGTTGCTGAAGTGCATTTATAAACAAAAATGTTGACAGACTTTCTTTTGAGTGGTTTACACGTTTAAATCTAACCTGCACACAAATTAGTTTGTAGTCCAAATAAGACAGCAAACAAGATGTCACAGATTTGAGCAAAACATGTTTAAAGTGCTTTGATTGTGTGTGTGTGTGTGTGCTCAGCTCAAAATGTTGCTCTACAGGCTCCGGTAAAGTCTTCTCAGAAACTTAACTGTCGCGTTCTCAAGAGTCTGCAATAGATAGGCCTATCTCACATTACAAGTTTAAACAAGATCCTGCAGAGTAGTATATCTGTTTGAATCATTTAATGCAGACACAGAAGGAATCTGATGAATCCCCTCAAATCACAGTCGTCCCCTTTCATGGTATCAAGCCTAAGGTCCACCTTCCTAATATATAGATCACACATGGGAACAACAACAAAAAAAAAGTTGATGACACATCTCCCGTTTAATCTCTGTCACTCAGCCTTGGCTCATTGTATGAGCACCTCTTCAGTGCCTTTGAAATGTCATGTGTGCTCTCTGTGTCCTCTTAAAGTTGCACTTTAGTCACTTCAGTGAAGTTTCAGGTCAAAGGTCAATTTGTAAAACAAGGAACAAGGTGAAACCTGCAAAAAAACAATCGAGGCAATTTGAGATTGTAAGCGATCGACTCTTAAAAGGAAGATGAAATAATTGTTTTGTGATCCAATCTTTTCCTTATCCTTAACTGCTTTGACGTTTACAGATGCAGCTCTTTTGTTTCAGTTCTTAGCTGTTTCTCTATTTTCACACATGGAAAAGGCTGATCTGTGTGTGTTTTTCTGCTTCAGCCTCTCACAATGAGCTTTAAAACCAGATAACTGCATGTCAGCTTCTGTCCCTGTAGATCTGGGGCAAAGGTTGACTTGATCAAAATGAGTCAACCTTTGCCCCAGAATTGTACTGGACATACAGTAATTGTATGTCCCCTCCATCATAGCTATACAATCTAAAATCAAGAAATTAAAGGCTTTATATGTGATTTTTTTTGATCCAGCAGATGTTGCTCTTAAGCACCAGCATGAAACCAAAACAACTCGCGCTGCATTGTTGTGTTAGCATGCTAATGCTAGTGATCTGCATGTAAATTTACCTGAAATGAGCGTGATCTAGAAACACAGTTAAGCAGTGAGTACAGTATGTTATTCTTCTTTTCTCTAGTCCCTCAATTAAACAACTTTTATACACGAGGGGAGGAGTCAGCCGGCCGTCCGGGCGATGTAAACAAAGTGAAGATAGGACTCTGAAAACTCTGAAAACATCACAGACAGTGGGACTCGGGTGTTACACCCATTGTAGACAGTCATGACTCACAGAGTTATTTTCAGAGGATATTCTTGATTTCTACATTTAAGTGTGAAAAATCACATAGAAAGACTTTAAGAGCAGGATTAAATGTATGTCCGAGCTGAGAATTAAAACATTACAATTTGCTACAGCGTGAGGGATCTATGCCACAGCGATGCTTTTGTGTCCACAGTAGCAGTTTTTCCCCCCAAGGAGATGTCATACTTTTATAGATCCCATTATCACCTTGTCAGTAGGCCTATCAATCTGTATAGCTGGTATAAAATAAGTGTAGTGTAGAAAAGGTTATTCAATTACCTACATAGTGCGTACATTTACACTACAACGATTTATATTATATTTAAGTGTGAAACATCACATATAAAGACTTTAATGCAGCAGCAGTTTCATTTAAATCTCCGTGTGACTCTTGAACGCGACATGCGGGGCTCCTCTCCTCTGATTGGTCAGTTCAGGCCAGCTGGCCGTGACGCTGCGTGCCACTGCAGCAGGTGTGGACGCTTTACTGTTTGTTATTTCTTTATTTCAGTGTGACCTGTGTGAGCTGTCGGGGCCCATGCCACAGCAACGTGTGGTCAAAGTGAAGCCGGTCCTTTTGCGGGTCTGTGAGGTTAAACTGTGGAGATGTGTTCAGCTGAGGAGGACGGAACCTCCAGTCAGCTCAACAAGTTTGAGAAACTGTCGTGGAGGCCCTCAATCCGCGACTCAGGTTTGTAAACAAACCCAGAGAACCTGCATTAAAGCAAAGCAAACAGAGACCTGCAGGTGAAGAGTCAGCGTAGGTCTCCTGTTGTCTTTGTTATGTGTACACTAAGATACTACTTTTGTGTCAGTTAGCAGAGATAGTAGTGTTGTGTCACGGATAACTTCAGCCTAACAGGCTAACAATAGCTAACGCTGCTACGGAAGCTTGCAGGAATTTAACGACTGAATAAACATTTAGAAGGCACACAGACATGTCGTGCTTTTTCTTTCTTCACATGACTCATGGTTTTTACAGAGACTTACATTTGGGCAGACAGTTAGCATCATGCAGGAGACACAACATAACGCATTGTAAGGGTTTGTCTCGTTAGCTCAATGTGTTCAGAGAGCATGCTATACTTTATAAAAGTCATATTTTTCATAGTTAAATTCTGCATCTTTTTTAATGCAAAACGACCCCTCTGTTTCCACTGGCCATGTGCCCAGAAAGAGATCATGTATGGAATCATAGATCTAAAAAAAGGGTAGAAGATATCTGGATAGACAGGACTGTGTGTGCAGCCTCATCATGACTAAAAGCTTACAGCCAATCATAACAACTGACTTCCCCTGTGACAGGAGTCAGTATTAATAATAGCTTTATTTATATATCACCTTTTTAAAACAAATGTTTACAAAGTGCTGTGACAGACAAATACAGAAACACAACAACAACAGAGATCAACAGAGAGGGCGACATTGTAAAAATGCAAATAACAGGAATAAGATTCAACAGGCAGGTATGGAGAGGCAGGTCAGTACAAAGAAGGAAAATTAGATTAAAATGAACCAGGAGAGAACAAAATAAAAACTGAGGGATAGTGGGACGACGTCACATCACAGGCTGTAAACACAGAATGAAGATAAAAGAAGAGATAAACAGGACATTGGTTAAATGAATAAAACAACAGAGAGCTGAAGAGTTAAACCATAAAAGGAGAATTTAAAAAGACTGAGAGCAGTAAAATTAATACAGGAAGGGATACATTTAAAGGTTAAAACATTTAAAGAAGAGAAAGATAAAAAGGTTAAAATGAATAAAAGGAAGAGATAGATCTTTAAAGGAGAAATCACATAAAAGCAAGTCTTTAAAAGTGAGTTTTAAGTGTACCCTCTTGTTCTATTGATTCATATTTTAACCACTAACTCTCAACATGATTCTGCTTTTCTACGAAAGAAACTTTGCACAAAAGGTCAAATCTTGCAGGTTAATAACTGGCATTCTACCAGCTACTGAAATGCATGCATCACATCAGCTGTACATAATTTAACACTCTCTCTTCGACAGGCTCCAAGAAGCGAGCACGATGGCTTCAGGCTCGGCGCATCTTCTCCCCGTCCTGCCCCAACCTGCGGATCCCCAACAGGTTTCTGAGAGAAGGTACATAACTAGGTTGAGGATTTCCTTCAGGTATAATCAAATAAACAGAGATCAGTGCTTGATTAATTAAGAAAACTACAGGCGCTGCAAATTATTTATTATTTAAAAAAAACATATTATTATCCTTCAGTGATGTTTCAGTCTGGACCCCGTTGTTTTACTACTTTGATGGATAGTAGCAGTGATTGCTGCTCCGTGTCTGTCCTGCATGATATACATTTTTTTATATTAACCAAATGCTGCTTCATGTGTATCCTGCATGGTTTATGTATTTTCTCCTGTGGCTGCGCACCTGTCTGCTTATTATTTGTAGCTTTTAGCGATGTTTGAATTTTTTTTTTTTTTAGGGAGCCTTTTCATAAAATCTGCCAGCGACAACAGATGAAAATTAGCTTTTGGGCTAACTCTGGCATATTTACTGATTTTTTTATTTTTTTATTAATATGCAATGTCCCTGTAAAAAATCCCTGTTAAATAAAATAAATAAGACCAGAGCCATATGAACTAAGTGATCTTGCTTTTGTAAAATACATCCTGTATATTTTTTACTGTTGAAATCAGCCGGGGTCATCTCTTGCACTTACAGTAATCATAAGCAAAAATTGGCCCGCTTGGTTTTTAGACAAAATGGTTCAACATCTTCTTGTGTAATATTTTACAATATAGCGGTTTCTTTTGCTGAAATAATTTCCATTTTTTCCCACTAACATCAGGGACTGAAAACGTAGTCTGTCATGAACGTGTCCCTCCCACAGGACACTGTGTACCCCCCGCCCGGAGTGGACACCGCTGTGTTGCAGACAGTGCCAACCTGTATGTGTTTGGAGGCTACAACCCAGACTTTGAGGAGGCAGGCGGTTCAGAGAATGAAGACTACCCTCTTTTCAGGGAGCTCTGGCGGTTTCATTTTGCCACAGCGACCTGGCAGCAGGTCCGCACGGAGGGTTACATGCCCACTGAGCTCGCCTCTATGTCAGGTAAGGAATCGTGCAATGCCCTCCATTTTTTATTTGAATGACACCTCATCTTTAACTGGCTGCAAGTCTTAATTAAAGGTACTGTAGCAAATGTTGATCAAATGTCAGTCCCTGTAATCTAGAAAACATTCAGTCAGCAACATAATAATTCATCTGCTCATCATTAAACACATTTGCTCAAACAGGATCAAATAATAAATTATGCAGTTTGGTTTTTTACACCTGGGTCAAAGATAATTCACTCTTACATTACAGTTTACTGTTCTTTCCATTTCTTGTAAACACAATAAATGCTCAGACAGATGTCTTCAAATTTTGCACAAACTTCTGCTCTGACTCAAAAATGAACTAGATTTAGATGAATAAAGGTCAAAGGACACCAGGACCTCAGAATCCGTCCCATCCATACAAATTCCCCTTCATCTTGCTACAAACCTTGTATACCTGTTTGTCATTCTTTTGCATGAAGGGTTGAAGGCTTTATATTTCTATATCTATATATACATACCACCAATCTTAAAATATAGTCTGGTGTTGCTGTACATTTTGACAAATTGCATGTTGCATGTCTGGATAAGAGGCTCCTTTGTGTTTAGTGTCGAAATAGTTTGTGGATCAAATCTGAAGAGAAAAAGCAGCATGACACAAAAACAAAGATCGACTACTTCATCATTTGCAGAAAGACAGAGTGATGCTTGTATGTGTTCAGGCCATGATGCAGGTTTGCATGCGGTCTTACTGAGCAAGATCCAATCAGTCATTTATTTCATTTGTTCAGATAGATAGATAGATAGATAGATAGATAGATACTTTATTGATCCCGAGGGAAATTCAAAGCATCCAGTAGCAGGTTACAAAGACATGACATGAAACATTTGTTAAGAATTAACCACAAAACCGATATATATTTGATCAATTTTCTTACTGTCTAAAATAAATACCTCTCCAGTTTCCACCAACATAACATTGATGGATGTAGAGGCAATCAACCCGAGGCAGAAAATCTAGTCCGAGTTCACAGATACACACAACGGGTCTGAGTGAACAACACTGAACACAAACAGAGATGTTTGTTGACGAGGATTCTTTTCAATGTATTCCTTTTGAAGCAGTCTGACATCCTGCAAATAATCTGTGTGTTTACATGCACTCGCCTAAACAAATGACTTGCTAAATTTAAGCTGTTTCAGTTTGTTTAACCCTCAGGCATCAGTTTAATTTACGACCCTCTTAAGTCACTTTGGACAAAAATGTCCAATAAATCTCTTAAACAACTTCAGCCCTGCTCAAAACTACCAAACATTCAAACATTTTTAGTAATTTAACCCTTTAAATGCCAGTTCGATTACATGATTCTGGCATTTAAAGGGTTAAATTCCTAATAATTATTGAATGTTTGATATTTTTTAACAGGGCTAAAGTTGTTTAAGAGATTTATGCAGAAAACAAATATAAATCTGTTCTATTTTTAAAGCAGTTTTTTGGCATGGACATTTTGTCCTGAGTGACTTAAGAGGTCGTAAATGAAACTGATGCCTGAGGGTTAACACTCATGTTTATTGACCTGTTTCCATATACCAATCCCTATTACACCAAAGTTGAATAAAAAACATGCCACTGATTAATTTATTAGCTGTAGGCTACATTATGTATGCACTTATGTTAGCTTATGCTATTTATGACAGGTTGAAACACAGTGCCTTCATAAGATCACTCTGTCACTTGTTTTGAAACTTGCTGCGTCTGTTGTAGGGACTTTCTCTTTCCTGTTCTCTCCCTCTGCTCCACCGTTCCTTTTCTTGGGATCGCCGTCTGTTTCACCTGCTGTTAATGTTTTCAATGTCAGTTGAGAAGCAGCAAGTCGGCAGTTGACCTTAACTAGCCCCCTGTGCAAACAGCAAAGATTTGCATCAGACTTTTTCACTGCAGTAAAACAAACAACCTGTGTGATCCACTTATCAGTGCTTTGCTCTGCGCTGCAGCTGGTGGTCCAAAATGTCTCTGCCTTTTTTAAAAAGTTGAAACCAAGGAAGTGAAATGCTTCAGCGTGACCAATTGAACCTGCTGTTAGTTTTTCACAAGTACAAATATTATTGTGTTGGCTTTTCATGCCTTTATTGAGAGGACAGTGTAGTAGTAGTAGTAGTAGTAATCATTTATTTCAGTCACAAGAAAAAACAAAAACATTTTGACCTAAAAGGTGTGAGGCTGAAGCTTTATCTTATCACACCTACCCTTGTTACAAATCTTTTTATTTAAGACACGACTAGTTTGGTTACAAAAAACCAAAAACATATCGGAACAAAAATTTGTTCCAAGAATTTCTTTCAAAACAAAACAAATGAAACAAACAAAAAACTAAACAGAAGTCACACTCACAAAAAATAATCAAACCGACCTTTTATATTTGTTAAACACCATTTTTTTTTTTAAACAAAAATTTAAATCTAGAATCTTAATTCTATGGCATAAGTACTCCACAAGTTAACCCCTTTTACCGCAATACACCTGTTCTTTATGTTTGTCCTTACCTTTGGTTTTTATACACACCTGTTCCCCTTAGTTCATACCGGCTCTCTCTAGTTTAAAAAAACCTCTGAATACTGTTGGGAAGCAAATGAATGTATGCCTTGTACATTATCTGAATTATAATGCGTGTAAGTGTAATATGGAGGTGAGAGGGTGGGGGGTGGGGGTGACGTGGTAGTGGGTGGGAGTCATGTTTTTTGACCACTCAGTTTGCCTCCTTGAACCAACTTTTTTTTTTTTAAATGATAGTAATTGAACTGTTTTAGATTCTGATGGTTTGGATGTGTCTTCCCCCGTCAGCTGTTTTACACGGTAACAACCTGCTCGTGTTTGGCGGCACTGGGATTCCATTCGGTGAAAGCAACGGCAACGACGTCCACGTTTGCAACGTTCAGTACAAACGATGGAATCTGCTCAACTGCAGGGGGAAGAAACCAAACAAGATCTATGGACAGGTAACAGCTTCTGTCTCTCTAGAGTCTTTAGATGTTTATCAAAATGCTCCAACAAATCTTTTTTTTTTATCTGCGTTTTCTGTTTGCAGGCGATGGTCATCATAAACGGCTACCTCTATGTGTTTGGAGGGACAACGGGGTACCTTTACAGCACCGACCTGCACAGGCTGGACCTGACCACCAGGGAGTGGACCCACCTCAAACCCAACAATGCACCCTCAGATCTACCTGAGGAGAGGTCAGACATCAGCCGATGTGAACAAATGCAGAATGTGTGAAATGTAGTAAACCTTCACTGAAGTGAAAGTGATGTTTGGTCCTTCAGGTACAGACATGAACTGGCTCATGACGGACAGAGAATATACATTTTAGGAGGCGGGACTTCATGGACGTCGTATGCCCTTGATAAGGTTGTAGGAACGAGCACAAAGACAATATTTGACCAAAAAATAATAATAATTTCATCAATCTGACATTTTATTTGTCTTCATCAGATTCACGCGTATAATTTAGAAACCAACTACTGGGAGGAAATAGTGACAAAACCTCATGGAAAAATAGGTTTGTCATTCATGACTAAGATTATTTTTTTGCATGTAGATTGTACACTGATTTTTAACTTTAATTTGTCACCATGACGACAGGATTTCCCGCTGCTCGCCGGTGTCACAGCTGTGTGCAGGTCAAAGATGGTGAGGAGTATTTTCACACACTTACTGTAATGTGATTAATTTCTTTTTTTTAACTGCTTCTTGCTGTGTGCCTTACCTGCAGAGGTGTTTATATGCGGGGGTTATAATGGAGAAATGATCCTGTCCGACCTGTGGAAGATCAACCTGCAGACTTTTCAGTGGACCAAGCTGCCTGCCGTCATGCCAGAACCGGCGTACTTTCACTCTGCTGCAGTCACACCGGTCAGTAAAACACAGGACTCTCCCACCAGCTGAGGGTCTACAAGAGGTTTACGTTTGTTTAAATTGCTATAAAAAAAAGACACAGAACTGGGGCGCTGGTGGTGCAGTGGTTGGTGCGTGCGCCCCATGTATGAGGCTGTGGTCCTCAAGGCGGGTGGCCCAGGTTCGAATCCCACCTGTGGCTTCTTTCCCGCGTGTCGTTCCCCACTCTTCTCTCTCCCTGATTTCCAGCTCTATCCACTGTCCTGTCTCTCATTAAAGGCACAAAAAGCCCAAAAATAAATCTTAAAAAACAACATATTATTCAGCATAATGAAAAAAATGGCCGAACATGGAAATTTGCTATTAAAGGAAGAATGTGCAACTTTTTGATCCAGTAGGTGTTGCCATTGAGCACCAGCATTAAACCAAAACAAACAGCTGTTTGGGGACACCTCCGCTTTTCTGAATTAGAACACACCATTGTCGCCTGCATTGTTGTGTTAGCATGCTAATGTTAGCACAATTTGGTTAACTTCATATTGCACATAAAACTGACAACAGAATGACCGTGATCTAAAGACACTTAGGTGACAGCCAAGCAGTGAGTATGTTATTCTTCTTTTCTCTAGTCCCTGACTGACAGCTTTAAAGGTTAGGCCGTCCCGTCCATGTAAACACGATGTAAACACAATGTAAACACGGTGTAAACACGATGTAAACACGATGTAAACACGGTAAACACGGTGTAAACACGGTGTAAACACGATGTAAACACGATGTAAACACGATGTAAACACGGTGTAAACACGATGTAAACACGGTGTAAACACGGTGTAAACACGATGTGAACACGGTGTAAACACGATGTAAACACGGTGTAAACACGATGTGAACACGATGTAAACACGATGTGAACACGGTGTAAACACGATGTGAACACGATGTAAACACGGTGTAAACACGGTGTAAACACGGTGTAAACACGATGTAAACACGATGTAAACACGGTGTAAACACGGTGTAAACACGATGTAAACACGATGTAAACACGGCCCGACAGCGGTACAGCTAGCAGGACTCCGCTTTCACTCATTGTAGACAGTCATGACTCAGAGAGACATTTACACAGGAGATACTTGATTTCTGCTGAAATGATGTGTAAAATGTCACACATTCTTCCTTTAAAGCTCCTCATCAATAATCAAAAGAAAGGGGAGAAAGTCACCCAAACTAAATATATGTATGTATAGGGTTTAGCTTGTTTTAAAGACTTTATATGATCTAGAAACACAGTTAAGCAGTGAGTACAGTATGTTATTCTTCTTTTCTCTAGTCCCTCAATTAAACAACTTTTATACACGAGGGGAGGAGTCAGCCGGCCGTCCGGGCGATGTAAACAAAGTGAAGATAGGACTCTGAAAACTCTGAAAACATCACAGACAGTGGGACTCGGGTGTTACACCCATTGTAGACAGTCATGACTCACAGAGTTATTTTCAGAGGATAAACCTAATCCAAAAGGAAGTTTTCTTTTAGAACGTACAAAGGGGAAAAAGTCACCCAATCTAAATGTAAATCCTTTTTTGTCAAACTCAAAAGACTGTATAGGGTTTAGCATGTTTTAAAGAATGTGTCCGTATTCTTAATGCCTGTTGATTTAAAAAATATATTTTGTTAGAAATTCTGTTTATTTGATGGATAGCCCCTTGAGATGAACCATCTCGTTTTCCATTCACCATATTTAGAAATTGAATGAGAACCAGCACACAGTTGTTTCAGTACAAACATTCATTATCTATCTTATACCTACAACCTGCGTGGGAAGTAACTGTGGCACACTTTTGTAGATATGTAAAAAACCTACATTATTATTTTTTTTACTTTTGTTGCTCATAAAATACTTTAGAGTTGAATAAAAAGTGATCGATTTTAGTTTCAACTTTCAAATCAATGAATCAGAAACAATTGTTAAATTGTCTAATTTCTGCTGTCCTCAGGCCGGCTGCATGTACGTGCACGGCGGCGTGGTGAACATGTCCGGGAACAGGAGGACTGGATCTCTGTACAAAGTGTGGTTGACGGTGCCCAGCCTTCTGGAACTGACCTGGGAGAAACTGCTGAAAACCTTCCCTCATGTAGCCCAGCTGTCCGCCCCTCAGCTGCTCAGCCTGGGACTGACACACACGTTGATACAGCGACTCAAATAGTGAGCAGCACTGACACTAAAACGAGCCCGCCAGAAGGTTTCTCCAACAGGACACAGAAGGTCTGATGATGTCAGTAAGAGAAAAGTTTTAAAAGCCTTTTTGACTTTTGTAAATATGTTTACTTTTATTATTTGTTATTTTAAACGCTTGGCGTGATGAGTTTCTCTGTGTAGGAATGTGTCAGAGTTGACTTTGCACACATCCAATCAGAGGCCATCACGCTCTGCTGATTCCATTTTCTCCAAATACTTCAAAAGTTTCTCATGTTTTGGGTTCACTGTAGTTCATTTTTGTTTGTTTTTTAATTTTTTTTACAACGTAGAACTGTCAGAAATGAGTCGATTGGGAATAGTTTCATGACAAAGAACACTTCTTCTTGAAAGACAAAATGAATGTTGCTTCTGCTTGTATAATATCGGCTTCCTTCAAGCTCTCTTTACTGTTTCTGTCTAATGTAACGCATGTTGAGTCAGCTGCTGCTGCTGCATTCACTGTGATGGAGAGTAACTGTTAAACAGTGCTGGATGTTAATTTTTTAGTTTGAAAATTGCTACATTTCTCTAAAGACTGCTGATGAAGTATGTAGACCACTTAACTGTGAAACCTCAACAGTCTGATACGGTCGATCACTAAATGAATCATCGTTTAGCCTCTCGTCTTAAATTACATTTAGTTCATTAGGCCAAGTTTTAAATCGATATCCGCTCCCCTGACTGCTGTGATCAGACCTTATGATCCAAAACATCTTCAACATGGCATCACTGTGAATCTTCTTGTGCCTCTCATTTTAAAAAATGAAGCTTAGCATGTCAGAGATGAATTTATACACCTGTAGCTTCACAGTGATCCTCGAGCCTTTTTAATTTCCTCATTTAGTGCCTTCTCAATTTCCAAACTGACAGAAGCATTGCTTTTATAAATTGTGTAAATCTTTTTTTTTTTTAAAGGTTTTTTTTAGTTTTCTTCTTCTGTGATCTACCTGGTTCTTCACACTTTAGCCCTTTTGTGGTTCTGAACTTCTGAAGACTCATCAGGACATAGTGCTTTTCTTAGTTCTTAGATATGTGTTACCTAATTTATTTAAAATCATGAGTTTATTCTCATTTGAAGCCTTTTTATTGCATAGCATTATGTTATTAGTTTTTTTTTTACCCGTTGTCTTTTTTTTTCTGAAGACTGCTGTAGTGCTGTGGTACTTAGAAAATAGTTGGTATAGGACTTTGTTCACTTTGAACCAGGTAGAGTATGTTTTGTGGTACTCAGGATGTTGAATACTATGATCAGTCTGCACGGCTCGGGGAAAAACACTCAGCTTGCCAAGATGTCAACAGACGGCCATTTTTGTGAAAACAGATATAATTATGTCAAGATCTTTGGTCACTGTGGACTGTAAAGCTGTAAAACCTGTAGTACAACTCCCAGCTGCTCATGGAGAGTCACATGATTGCCTTTTTTTTTTTTTTTTTTAAAGGAGACTTCTTTCTTGACTTACAATTGAAAATCTGCGGCATCTCATGCTACACATTCCTAACACTAAGCTGACTATCATTAAAGTCATCTATATCTGATTGAGAAGCAGCAGTCTGCTTCAGGACTTGATCGATGTTCTGCCTTGCTGAAGATGGATTTGTTTCTATTTGCATCTTTTTTTGATGTTCAAGTCAAACGATGTCTTTTGCATGTCCGTACGGTGTGCATGTGACTCGATGGGAGAAAAAAGCCGTTCTGGCTTTAATGTACATTATGTTTTATTGTTTTGTAATTCCTGTCTGTCCAAACAATAAAAACACAGACAGCCCCGTTTTTTTTTAAACTGTTGTATATTGTTTTTATTTTCACAGCACAGCCAGCATGCCACTTGTCCAAACTCTAGATGCTGTAAGGTTTCATTTAATTTAAAATAATGTTATTTGTCTCATGTACTATTTTCACATTTTAGGAGTTACTTAAAAGTATAAAAAAATAGTTATTACAACTTGAACAAAAATACGATTTAGAGTAGAACTGTTAAATCATTACATCCATTTCTGTGTAAAAATACTGCTTTGCTTTCTTTGACCACATGTTACAAACTAGACAATCAGAAGTCACAGTTAGACACATCATCTTTAGGAGTGAAATATTTGTGCAGTCAAGACGAGTACCTAATAGTAACTAATATTGCAATTTTAAGTGTGCAAAAAGTATATTTTAGCAAACAGCTTAAGAGAATAAAACTCCATAAAGGCCTTTCACTTCCTCTTCAGATACAAATGTCTCCGTTTCCACATGAATGTCCTGCAGACTTCCTAAAGTGTCCTGCAGTCAGCAGCCTGCTGGAGACGGAGCGTAGAAGTACAGAGCCAGAAGAATAAAGTAGTTGATCACCAGAGCCGTACCTGATACAAGATGAGGAATAACACATGAGGCTTTTCAAAAACATTAAACATATACACATAAAAATGTCCTTCACTTCTTCAGCCAGCCTTCATTTAAAAATCATCATGAAGTTTGGATCCACTTTAAAAGCATCCAACAAGAGCAGTTCGTTAAAGGGATACTTCACCGCCCTCATTTTCCCCTGAGATGAGAAATCTTTGTATTTCTGAGTCTGAAAAGGAGCTTCCAGTGACGCAAAATGACGATTTTTGCGTCACTGGAAGCTGTTGTGGTTAGCGGGTGAAACTACAACTCTAGTTCCTCATATTTTCGACTGAAGCTACAGACCAATCACAGATCAGTGGGTGGGAACTCACTCCCAGAATCCAAACTTAACGTCCGCCATATTGTTTGAAAGCTAAGCTGATAATGGAGAAAAAATATAAATATAGCAGCCGAGAAACAAAACCAGCCCGTCGGCAGCAACCGTCTCGCGGCTATATTGCTCAGCAGCCGAGACATAAGGCCTGCCTGTCGGCGGCGGTGAGGACGAGGAGCCCGGGCCGGCTCGAGCTGGGGTGGACTGGTAGAGTCGGTGCTCTCACTGTTTGTCTATGGACACAGACATGGAGTCTGTTTTCTGACAGGAATTTCCAAGATCAATTCTGGAAGAAATCTCTGAATCAGTTGTGTAAACGGTCTCATGTGTTGAAGTAAATATGTCTGTAAATAGAGGACCTTAGTGGGAGTGGCCTGCGGTGCTGTGCATTCTGGGATTTGGTGTCTTTCATCCACATGAGCCAAAAAGACACTTTCTGTCTTTTCACGGCCAAGAAGGCACCAACTTCAAAATGTATTTCACATTTCTACATATATGACCCAATGTCAGTACAGATTCATGTTTCAGCGGGTGAAGTATCCCTTTAAGTTGAAGCTCTTTTTGTAACTCGTTCCAAGGAAAAGGAGCAGCAAACTTAGATGCTTTTTTCCCCGAGTTCAGTTCTGACTTTTGGAGTCCCTTTACTCTTCTGACTGATGTTGGTCAGAAGAGTATGAACTAAGTAGACCTACAAAGCAGTTAACTACAATATTAACATCATCTTATAACATCTTCATTTGCTGAATATTTGCCTTCTAAGTTTCCAGCGACATGAATTATAAATTCACCGCTCTTTTGCCGTTAAGTCGAAAATCTTTCCACTTAAAATGAAATATTAAAAAAAACACATTCTCACCCTGAAAGTAATCACACTTGCCGTCCATGAATATGTAGTTGACAAGAATCACGCTGAAGATGCTGGCCCACAGGTGGAGGTCGCTGAATAACAGCACGAAGCCCACATCCTATTCCAAACAAAGAATAGTGTTTAATAACAGAAGTTGTGAATCAGTGAATACTTATTATTTTCAGAATGATTGAGAAAAGTAAAGAAGGAGGTCTCACATAAAAGGAGTTAAATAAGACCAGAATTGGAATCTGGAGCATGCAGACCTGGACTGCAATACAGATCCCCACCTCCAAGCTGAAACATGACAAATCATTTAGAAACAGAGAGCCCCTCATCAATTCTACTTAGCAGACGCTTTTATCCAAAGCGACATACATCAGAGAGTAAGAACAACACAAGCAAGGATCTAGAAAAAAGGGAACAATGTCAGTAAGAGCAAACGATCAGCTTTGAGTCTGATTGGACACACAGGTGCTGACAGGAAGTGACCAGAGGCAAAGCACAACATTGAGGGCAGTTCTTGAGAGCTCTAATCAGTATAGAAACCATCTTATAAGTCGTCGTTATCAAACAAAAACCATCGTCATTACCATCATCATCATCATCAATAATATGGAGACCATCATCATTAAGTTAGTAGGTATTCATAAAGAGCTGGGTCTTTAGCTTTTTCTTAAAGGTGCAGAGGGACTCTGCAGATCACATGGAGTTTGGAAGTTCATTCCACCACCGGGGGCAATAGAGGAATAACCTTTTCCAATAACTCCAATAACCTTTTGTAAATAAAGTCTTACCTCAGACTGATGTTGTTTTGGAGGGCAAACTGGATCCCATTCACTATCTCTGGGATCTCAGGAACCATAGCCAGGACTGTCACTCCAATGAAATACTGCAGAGAAATCGGACAAAACGTTAACACTCTAGGAGGAGACTTTCAAATTAAAATCTTCCCTGAGCGACCTCAGATGACCTGACCTGAGAGATGTTGGGCTGGTTGAGTATGGGCTGGATGTGCTCTGTGACCAGATCAGCACACACTGATGTGAGCACAGTGGCCATGATGAGGATGACCAGGGACCTCCATCGTGACCAGTGGACCACTGCTCCATGGTGGCTGGTCTCTGCACACAAAAACAAAAACAACAACAAATTATTTTTTCAGAAAAAGCCTTGGCCAAGGTCAAACTCTGTGTGAGTTTTAGACTTCCTACCTTGTCTTTCTCCAACTCGAATGTTATAAATGTGGGAGTGCGTCTTCAGGGTGAAAATCAGACCGATGATGTAGGCTATTGGTAAGAGGGCAGACACTGTGTACACCAGCGGCCTGACAAGAATGGAAAAAAAAATAACTTAAGACATCACAGTGGATATATGAATAACAGAATATTGAAATCATTACTTACTGGACATGGTTGTGAAACAATGTGCCGTTGTTCTGTTGACAAAAGAAAATCACACAATACATTACACAGTGTTCTGTGAATTAAATGATGTTTGTTTCAATGTGGCTTATGTTGCTGACCAGGTCGTAGTGACAGTTGTGGCAGATGAATGGGCCGCTGCTGTTGCTTGTGCCGTTTCCTCCGGATGAGTTCGTGCAGGCATCACACACCAGATTGCCGTACGCCTTAGAGAACAGCGTCGGAGCAAACACACCTGCCGGTTGACAGTCAGGAGGAGGATTCGTTATGTGTATCGGTGAATTGAGAATTTTCTAGACAATCACATCACTTTTTTTTTTCCAAGACAATTACTTTTGAATTCCTCATGAAATAAAAATGTCGAGCTAGCTTCTTAGTTATGGAACAGTAATGTTGTTAATGCAATGCAATGAAAGTTTGCATGTGATTTACTTTATTTTTGGGCTTTCTTCTTTATGCCTTTATTTTAAAATCATCATCATCATCAACCTTTATTTAAGTTCTCGTAGAGATCATTGAGGGCGACCCTCATTTACAATGATGCCGAGAAAACATACATAAATGATAAACAACGAGAAATGAGATAGAGCTACTACAGAAAATAAAATCAATAAAAGAGCAACAAGAACAACAAAATATATACACTGAAATAATTTAAAAGCTTTGAAATTACTACAGTGATAAGTCAGTAAATTAAATTAAATTAAATTAAATTAAATTAATTTTAGAGGTAGGACAGTAGATAGACTCAGAAATCAGGAAGAGAGAGAGAGTGGGGAATGACGTAAGAAAGGAGGTCTGATTCGAACCTGGGCTGCCCACTTGGAGGACTACAGCCTCCATACACTAGGGGGCGTGCAAACTATCGGCTAGGCTTCTGGCGCCCCCATGTGCTTTACTTTAAACAGTACAGAACAGAACGTCCCCGCTTAGGTAATGTAGAGTGTGTTGAATTTATTGGCGGTTGCAGCAAGGAACCAGGGACTCAAAAATGGCACTATGGCCAAAGTTGAACATATCACTGAGCATTTACATTGGGACTATTTTAGCAGAATAAGAATCTTTTCCTAAGAGCTGGGAAGTTTTATAAACACAAAATGTCCACAGATTAATGATTCTGTATTAAGTGAAAATACAATATGAGTTAAATGAGTTTGGCAAATGTCTGTTTAAATGCAGTGAAGGTCAAATCCTTTTTAGCACCAATGGTGATATTTGTAGTTGCAAGTTCCCACTCAGACTTATTAGGGGCTCAACTGAGTGACCTAGCCATATCCTAACTCATGAATACATGCATAGTCTTCCTGTTTTTAAATAAAGTCTATATGTAATTACAAACTCTTAAAACAGCCTGTTAATATTTCTGATGTTGACTGTAGATTTGTTTTTATTTGCTTTTTTAATACCTACAATGATCTTTAAAGTCTTTATATGTGATTTTTCACACTTAAATATAATAGAAATCAAGTATATCCTCTGAAAATAACTCTGTGAGTCATGACTGTCTACAATGGGTGTAACACCCGAGTCCCACTGTCTGTGATGTTTTCAGAGTTTTCAGAGTCCTATCTTCACTTTGTTTACATCGCCAAGGACGGCCGGCTGACTCCTCCCCTCGTGTATAAAAGTTGTTTAATTGAGGGACTAGAGAAAAGAAGAATAACATACTGTACTCACTGCTTAACTGTGTTTCTAGATCACGCTCATTTCAGGTAAATTTACATGCAGTGTGAAGATACCAGCATAATAAAGATCACTAGCATTAGCATGCTAACACAACAATGCTGCGCGAGTTGTTTTGG